TTCCTGGTTCTCACTTTATCCACAAAGATTTATTTTTAAACAACAGATTTGGAGTTTATTTAGATCAATCTTTTTCTTTCTAAAATGTAGCTGTTTATGGTACATGCATACAATGTAATATTTTTCAACAATAAAATGAAATAAGATATCAAAAAAAAAGGCATAGAATAACTTTAAGTGCATATTACTAAGGAAAGAAATCAGTCCAAAGAGACTACATGCTGTATGATTCCAACTATTTGAGATTCTGGAACAGGCAACCATACAGAGTTGGCAGAAAGATCACTGGTTGCCAGGGGTTGAGGAGGAGAGTGTAATGAGTAGATGAAGGACAGGAAATTTTTAGGTCAGGTGAAGGAGGTTATCTTAACTTGTTTCTCTGTAACATTATTACAAAAACAGCCAAAAAAGTAAGGTCTGTTAATTTAAAATACACGCAACTATTTTACATGTAAAGTTTAAGGATGTGAGGACAATGTAAAAAGTGACATTAATGAACTAATGAAATTTGAATTTGATATCTATCATAACTATTTTTTAATTGAAATTTCATTTGGGCTTCTATTTAAGTATTAGTTGAGGTGATTTTAGCTAAATTTTAGTCAAATCCTGTGGATTTTGTTTAAAATGGCCAATAAAGATTGAAGTGTTGCCCTTGGGGAGTAGACAGAAGCCAGGGCTGCCAACAGGAATATGCCAGGATATCAAACCCAATTCAAATCAAGTTGCTAGAAAGGGCTCTTGGTGAAGACCTTTTCTGAAGATCATTCTTAAAATATGAAACCATTTGTCTCTCCAATGTTTGCAGTCTATATCTGTTAAAGAGATAACCATTTCTTTTAGCTTGCTTTTAGCAATCCTTGTCTGGGGAGTGTCAATCTAGTTGGTGTCTGTCTCTTAGGCTTCATCAGTAAAGTTGTATAATTCCATTACTAAACCCTGCCTGTTTGAAATGTTTCTTTTAAGCATAACTTTGTCAACTGTATTACCAGTAAATTTAACTTTGAAAGGTAGAAATCTTGAATTTCAGACACTCAACAACTATTTGTTATGAATCAGGTATAAAAAATTACATTGGAAGAAGGTAATGATGCATTATTAATCATAAGTGAATGAAGTTTAGGTATATAAAATAATAGTGAGAGAAAATATTTTAAAAACTTAGAATTTTTAAAAATTTGGCCATAATTCATGGCTTCTGAAATTGAGCAATAGATTTTGATTATACTCAATAGAAAAAAAAGGGGGGGAATGATAAATCTTATTATATCAGACTCAGAATGATGGAACTATAAAATACGTGAGAGATAGTTTACTATGAAAATAATAAACTGCCAGCCCATAAATCAAATCTAGTCACCTGATGCTTTAAATGTAAATTTCTATTGGTTGCAAAAATTTAAAAGTTTATAGAACTCACATAAAAATTTTTCAAAAAATCATATTGGACTTGCATTATTGCATAATGGTTTCATGATGTCTAGTTGCTAACTTCCATCTCTCTCTCTGTTCATTTATACCTAGTGCATTTTATTCAATTTTATTATGTTTATACCTTCTTGTCCATATGACTTAATAGATCCTGATTTATACCAATTCCTTCATTATGTGCTCAAGACATATGTGACTCCAAAGACAGTATGCAATTTGCCCCAATCATGTAACTGGTACTTTCAAAGACATAAAACAATAATAAAATGAGTTCTGCCTGGCAACACATAGAAAAGAATTGAGATATTGCAATCTAATGCTCATTATCATAGAGGTTCATTTGATTCTAGCCACGAGAAAATTGCATTTTTATAGTAAGTTTTAATTCTGGTAGAAAGAAGTGTACCAGAACAATTAAGACAAAGGTTAATGAGGAGATATTTTGTCTCAAAGTAAATCTGTTTTAAATATTTACCAACAAATAGAATTTTAAATGCTTTAAGTGGTATGCACAGGTTTTCAATTTCTTCATAAATTGTGCCAGTTACTTTTCCCAGAATTATTAAATAATTATTTCCATCTTGATTATGCAGTTGAGGTTGTAAAAATGCACACAAAATATATTTTTACTATTTGAAATAAGAAATGGTCTTTTTCTAATGTTAAACCCAGAGGTACATTAGTTTCAGATATCATATTTCTATATTTTTTTCTATATTTTATAAGGATTAAAAAACAAATTATGGAAAGCATAAAACTTAGCTCTTATCTCATGTAGTAATAAGATAGACAAATAAACAATTGAAGCAATGTTTGCTCCACAAAAAGGAATTCAGTTTTTGTAAATTATCCCAGAATAGGACCAACATATGTTTTCTTAAATTGAACTCTTGAATAATTAGTATGTAATTTGATATGATCTGTCATAAATTAATAATCTACTGTTGTAATAGTCAATCCATGCATAATAGTCATCTATTGTAGTATGACTATATTACCACAAACTTATCAACCTGAAGTTTCTGTAGGTCCAGAATCCAGTCATGAGATAGCTGTGTATTATGTTTTATGGTCTTGCATAAGATGTTAATCAAAGTGCCAGCCACAGTGAGAGTCTCATCTGAAGCTCAACTAGAGAAAGGTCCACTTCCAAGCTCGTGTGGTTGTTAACAGGATTCAGTTCCTTGTGGGATGTTGGACTGAAGGCCTCAATTCCTCACTGGCTGGTGGTCAGACATCTTCAGTTTCATGACATGTGGACCACTCTATATGGCAGCTTACTTAATCAAATCCAGCAAGAGATAATAGTTGGAGTGTGCTAGCAAGAAGGAGGTTATAAGTTACAGCCTTATATAGCATATTCATTGACTTTGCATGACACATATATCTCACATTAACATTGGGCAAAGGATAAAACACTCTCAATTGCCCAGAGATGGTTAATGTGTCTATCCATATACTCCAGGGATTGGGTCACCCCTACCCAAACCACTTAGGCTGAGAATCGAGAGGCATGATTATCCAAAACAATATTTGGATGTTGTTATCAAAAGAAGGCAGAAAATATTCAGAGGACTAAAATAAATCAGTAAATAAATAAATAGCTACTTTATACATTTTCATTAAAATGATATAGGTTGGTTCTTATTTTTTAGCAAGAAATAGTCATTTGGCATGCAATGAATATATGGACCACCATCTGGTGCTGAAGGGTCTATGAGAGAGATTGCTTTACATTTAGATAGCCTAGTCAAGCAAACATATGAACTACAATGGCAAAGAACAAGGAAATTTGGACAAGATGTTTATAAAGTGTTGTATACAATTATTTTTTTCAGACTAGATGTGTAGTTCAAAATTTGTTATAAAAGGCTTCAATAAAAGTACAATGTAATCTGTATTAAAACTGGAAGGATAGAGAGAAAATGAGAAAAGAATAGCTATTGAAGGAAAAAGATTACGTGAAAGAAAGGCAATAGTAGTTATGATAGCCTAGTTATAGTAACCAATAATTATAAAAATGAAATTGAAATTTTGAAAATAAAATAATGCATTCTTGAAAAAATACATTTTAGAATTAGAGATACCATAGTACTAGGGGCATGACATGACTATAATAAAGCAAAATAAGAGAATTCAAAGGATATATGAATTTTGTGATGCTAGCCATTCAAATACTTTTGGCACAGTTAGAGCTTTGCAGGGGTCAGAATTAAGAACTAGAAAAGACATGTGGAAACTCTTTGCTTAAATATGCTCAATCAACAACATAAGAGCAGCATTTTATTTTAGCAGGATGAGGTAGCAAATTGCCTCTATCTATTGACTTCGGTCCAGAAGGTACTTTGGAGACAAGTGAAAAAATTTTTGTATGAAATATGACAGATATTACAGTGGTATTATGACCAAATTTAATTAAAAATAATGTAGCTGGTAAGACATTCTTTTTTTTTTTTTTTTTTTTTTTTTTTTTGGTAAGACATTCTTAACCAAAAGTATTTGCTTTTAATTGTGAACACAATTTATTAAGCCCAAAGTCTTAATGTAGTACTTCCTTGAAAACTTCAGATAATAGTATTATTCAAATAAACATACACATATATGCATAATACTATACATATTCTATTATTAGATTCAAAATTCTATTATTACAAAATGAATTATAAGAACCGAATAAATACCACTACACACCTATTAGCATGGCCAAAATCCAGAATATCGACAGCACCAAATACTAGTGAGAATGTGGAGCAACAGGAACTCTGATTCATTGATGGCAGGAATATAAAATGGCATTACAACTATGGAAGACAGTTTGGCAGTTTCCTACAAAATTAAACATAGTTTTACCTTACATTCTAACAATCACACTTTTTGGTATTTACCCAAAGGAGTTGAAAACTTACAGTTACCCAAAAGCCTACACAGGGTTGTTTATAGCAATTTTAGTCATAATTGCCAAAACTTGGAAGCAACCAAGATGTTCTTATTTATGGAAGTAAACTGTGGTACATCCATACAATGGAATGTCATGTAGCACCAAAAAGAAATGAGATATCAAGTCATGGAAAGACATGGAGGACCATTAAATGTGCATTACTAAGTGAAAGAAGTAACAGTCTGAAAAAGCTTTATACCATATGATTCCAACTATATGACAAAACCATGGAGACAGTGAAAGATCAGTGGTTTCCAGCGGTTGGTTGTGTTGGAGGAGAGATGAATAGATGTAGAACAGAGGATTTTTATGAAAGTGAGAATACTCAGTATGATACTATAATAGTGAATACAAGTCATTATATATTTGTCTAAACCTATAGAATGTACAACACCAAGGTGTACCCTAATGTAAACTATGGACTTGGGGTGATTATGAAGCATCAATGTTGATTCATTGATTGTGACGAATGTATCACTCTGGTGGGAGATTTGATAGTAAAGGGGGTTATGCGTGTGTGGGGGCAGAGAGTATATGGGAATAGTTACCTTTCTTTCACTTTTTCTGTGAACCTAAAGTTGCTTTAAAAAATGGCTTTAAAAATAATAAATAATCTTCTCTAAACCTGCAGACCTCCTCCAGTAAGTGAACTTGCCACCAGAGGGACCATGGTTGGTGTAATTTCTGCTGCGGCCATTAATCAGAGCATTGTGTACTCCATTGTTTCAGGAAATGAAGAAGGTGAGATTTAGTCTGTGTTTTCATCATAAACTAATAAACTTAGAATTGGACTAATTTTAGATTAAATTATTATTATTTATCTTATTTTTCCCTAATAAAATTATGCCTATCTTAAATGTGATTGATAACTTAATATGCTGAACTTGATTAAAAATCTAGTTATATTAGCTCAAGTGATTTTTTCCCTTAAGAAATACTAAATATATAATTCTAGAAGCCTTTCCCTTCCTTGCATATGGTAACATTTTAATGACACTTTTTCAAAATTAATACATCATATTTTGAGTCATAATTATTGCCTACAGTACTCTCTTCCTGCTGTTTATACCATCTATGTCATAGCTTAACTAATTTCTGAACAAATTTCAGAATCATAAATAAGCATGAATGCCCAAAATGCCACATACATGTAAAAGCCATGTATATTATACAATATGACTCCCAAGGCAATCAAATTAGACATGCAATTAGGAAACAAATATTTTGAGTTTTGTCTACCAATCACTTTAAGAATTATAGTAGTTTCCTGGCCTTGGGAAAAAGTCTATAGTTCAGTCTTTCTCACTGATTCTTTGTTTCACCTGTTATCCATAGGTTGGTTGTCCTGTGTTTTCCTCTTTGAAATGCTAGATAGCTTGGCATATTACATATAGCCAAGAATTGATTGATATATTAATATGTCTAATAAATTAATTAATATTAATTTTTTTAAAATAAATGAATGTAAATACTACTAAACAGTTTTCAAGGAAATTATAAAGGCCTTTTAAAGGATTTTAATGACCAACTATTACTAGAAATCATTGCCCATACAATGCAGCAAGTGTTCAACATCTTACTTTTATTGCTTCTCTTCTATGTTCCTGCTGTGCTACTATGCCTCCTCCCTAAATATCATTGAACTTTTTTTGCCTTGAACTTCCAACCTGTTCTGATACTTTCTCTTTTTGACTGTATTCTTTTTCTTCAAGATAGCAAAGTGGCTGAATTTTTTAATCTCTCTTCCCACAATGCCTGTTTTACATTACATTCATTTATTAATTCATTCAACAAATATTTACTGAGCATCTATGAAGTACTAATTACTCTTCCAGCCAATAGGGGTAGATCCCTGCCCTCATAGATTTTAATAGTCCAGTAAGAGGAAGTACAAAATAAAAACTATTAAACAAATAAATACATAGTATTATAACTGGTCAATTCATGGAAAAAGTAAAATGAGGAATAATATGGAGAGTGTAAGAGATGGGCTATTATATAGTTTATTGAAGTGCCCTGCATTTTACTCAAATATATTATGTAGAAATTTATAAAAATAGATATAAGGGCAAAATATTTTAAGATATTAAGAATAATAAATAATTTTTTCTAAAAAACCAACATATCAAATTATCAGTTTGTTCTCTAAAGTGTTCTTAGCAGAATATTAAATCTATAAGAAAATATGATTCATTAAATTATAAAAAGTATAATAATTCAGTAAGATCATAAAATATTTGGTTAAACAAAATTAAATGGGTTTCTTTACAATAGAATTTCTGAAAGCCTTTGGTATGATAGAAGACCATCTGAATCTATGATGAGAGATACATTATTCAGTGCTTCCTAAATGTAATTGACAATAAAAACATTGATTTCCAGGGGAATCTCAAAACAAAACAAAACAAAAAATTACAATTTCAAGTCAATATTTAGAAAAACACTGATGGTGACCATTTTAAGAGCTGAAACAGAGTTTCCAAAAGCCAGCAGTATGTCACTTTTATGCATCACTGTAGTTACAAATAAGTGTTTTTAGTGTTTTTGAAGTTACAGTGCCTTTTAAAGAGAATTTCTTTCCTTATAGTGTAAAGAAAATGACCAAGCAATTATGTTTCAAATTCTAGATAAGTTTGGAATTAATAATGTCACAGGCGTTATCTACGTGAATGCCCCTCTGGATTATGAGACCAGGACCAGCTATGTACTTCGAGTCCAGGCTGATTCCCTGGAATTGGTCCTTGCCAATCTTCGAGTTCCTTCAAAAAGTAAGTTATACTACTGATGGGTTTTAAAAGAATTTTATGGTATTTTTGCTGATTTCTAATTAAGTACATTTGTATAAAATAGCATTCCTAGTGGAGAACACAGGAAGGTTATTAATATTTGGCAGATGATTGCCCACTCATTTTGACAGCTGATGTATGACAATCAGGGAGTGATTTCATACTCCTGAAATGTCAAGGCAATAATGCACTGCTTTCAAATTTTATATATGATATTGTTAAAGTATCACCATTATCTGTGTATATTAAATAATAAACCTTATTCTTAATCCCACAGTGAGGCTCTGGATAAATACTGGGGATACATATTATTAGTGGATGACTGTAAAACCTTGCTTGAGTTGTGAAGCTTCTTGTACTTACGTATTTTCATAAATCAGGAGAAAAATCATCTAAAATTAGTGACTAACATATATTTGTAATTTGTATGTAACATCACATTTAGTCTATACATATTAATATGAGATGAGATTTATTACCCCATTTTACAAAGATGAGATAAATAAAGGTTAAGTAATTTTTAAAAAATAATAGTAATTGAAGAATCAGAGATTTAAATCCACATTTTTTGACTCCAAAATTGTTCCTTAACATATCAGCATAATATACAGTGTCCCAAAAGTCTCCATCCAAAGGAAAAATTTTGTAATGAATATTTTGTAAATAAAGGTACATTTAGCTACAGTTTCCCATTTTCCCTATGTATACCCACCCAGAGAAGCAAATAAAAGCCTATTTGTGAAGGGGGCTGACACAGATTTTAAGAGATTTTACAAATAATGGCATAAATGCTATTCTTTTCCATTTATTGAGGTAATACTCTTTTGCACTTAAGCAATTCATTTCTTTTTTGTTATCACAGCAACTCTTTTAAAATCTAGAAAACTCACGAAAACAAAATTTAATTTAACTGTTAATAGATAGACTGGAGGCCTAGTAAGAGTGCAAAGTGGGGAACAGGATCTGAAACGTTACCTGGGGACCATTCTTGGACACTATATCATAGCATCCCAGCAATCAGTGTATTTAAAGAGGGAAGAGGAAAAAAAGAGAGAAGGAAAGCGAGAGCAAGACAGCCCAGGCAGTGTGAGAGAGAAGGGATCAAAATGGGAAAAACTGATGATCATGAAAATAAATCCCTCATTTAATTAATCCCTCATTTAATTTAAAACACACCTCATTTATTGATTTAGTGTAGAAGGCTGCACAGTTGCTTGTGAAGGTACAAACTATTGGAAAAATCAGATTATACAGTGTGTCTTTGAAATTAATAAAATTAATTTTCCTCCATAATTATGCATCACTTGCATAATTAAATTGTTTAAAAACAGCCAACTAGTTCATTGAGTTTTTAAAATCTTTCAACTGCAGGCAATTATGTTTTTTTTTAATAGACAAGATGCTTCAAATTGTAAATTGAATTGGCTAGATGAGGAGTACAAAGGTTAGAGTAGCTATAAATTATGTAATGTGACATATCTTATTGCAAATTCAAATAAATGGGAAAGATTAATTGAAAATTATTGCTGTAATCTTTATTTGAAACAAATGAATAATTAGTTGTAAATATTTAGGTGGTAGAATCTGATATTTCTCAAGAAATATCTATGATATCTAGGAATAGAGATACATTAAGTTTTTATATTTGAATATAGTACAACTAACTCACATTATTGTAATTTAACTGTAAATCTAAGGCTAAGAAAAATTTATCTAATGCACACATGTATACTTGCATGTGCCACAGTATGCATGTGAGACCAATTAAAGAATTCATGAGTTATCCTCTCAGAAATACAGGAAGTCTAAAAGCTAAATGTTAGTTTGTTTAATGCCTGATGCTTTGAATATTGTTATTAACATTTCATGATTGACCTTTGCCTTTTAAGTTTGAAATTATATTTCAAACCTAGTTTCATTAATTAATAACTGTTAATGGCCTATAATCAATCCCCAGTCCATTAACTATGAAAATAATAAGACCATTATGTAAATGGAGGTTAATTAATTAGTTATCTAAAGGTTCATCCCTGCCTTGGAATTAGCTGCTCTATGGTCTTTAGCTCTGCCACATATCATTTGAATAAAGGTAATAAAAATCAGAAGTTTAATTCATTAAAGAAGTATTTTATTGTGACTTCTTTACCAAAAATTTGTTAATGAAATCATATTCAAAGTAAATTTCACAACCATTCTGTAACTGGATTTATTATCTAAATGCAAATTAATAAATAAAATAGAAAATTTTAGAACTCATTCAACACTAGGAATATTTTAAATCTTTTAACCTGCAAGATGGAATATTTTAAACATATAAAAATTACAGAGAGTATTACAGTGAACCTCCATGTACCAACCACCCAACTCAATATTATTTTGTCCTGGGAAAAAGTCTTTGATATCTACTCCCAACTACTTCCCCCTGCACTGTTCTGAGGCATATCAGAGTCAAAACAGTCCATCTGTAAATATTTCTATATGTATCTCTTAAAGATAAGGACTCTTAAAATTTAATTGCAATACCATTGATACTCCCCCCAAATTAACAAAAATTCTTCAATTTTTGTTACAGTATTCATATTAAACAGTATACATATTAAAGTATTAAATAGTATACATATTACAGTATTCATATTAAACAGACTACGGTATTCACATTAAACATTTATTTACAACATAATCCAAATAATATTTATACATTGTAATTGGTTAATAGGTCTTTTAAGTCTCTTTAAATTTGTAGGCTTCATAACCACTATTCCTTTTTTATTCACCTTAATATTCATTTGTTTAAGAAACGAGATTTCTGAAGCCTGGATTGATGACTATATCTCTAAGGGGTCATTTTGTATTATTCTCTGTCTCTTTTATTTCCAGTAAATAAGTAGTTTGATCTGGAAGTTTGATCACATCCAGGTTGTTTTTGTTTTTGTTTTTAAACAAATCATTGGTGACATTAGCTCCTTGCTTAGACATCAAGTCTCTTTGGCTCTCTTTTTGTGATAGGAGATACCAGCCACTGATAGTCATTTTCCAAATTCATTAATTTCTTCTTTTCATTTCTTCTATATTCATTAGCCAAAGTATTTTTTATAAAGGGAAATTTCTCCATATCAAATGTTCAGTTACCCTAAGGTCCAACTCCTATAGGAAAAAGAGGGAAAAAATGTTTGCCTCTTTTCCTTTACCTACTAGTTTTCAATATAAGTTGATTCACTATCATATTCCAAATGGGAATGCTAAGATAACACATATTTTTGGTTTTATGTTTCATATAATCTCAGTAGTAACTACTCAACTCTACGGAAGCTTAAAAGCAGCGAGAGAGTGTGTAAACGAGAGTGTGGCTGTGCTACAGTAAAACTTTATTTACTGAAATGGCTGTGGACTGGATTTGACCAAGGGGCTGTCATTTTCCCACCCCTGTTCTAACACTTGGTTTTACTTTATATAATTCACTTAGTGTCTTTCTTTTTTTTTTTTTGCTACTGTTTATGTTTTCTGCTGTAAGCAATGCTTCTGCTTCATCCTCATTTCCCCCCAACACAATATTAAAGTAATATTGCTTTATCCCTGTTAACATGAATAAGACAATCAGTCATTTAGTTATCTGTAGCTTGTCCACTCCTCAAAGTAGGATCAAAGGAACATTATTTACTATGATCTTGTGCATTAGTAAAAACTTGTCTGAGGCTATATAATTGAATACCTATTTGGCTGAACATAAAAGATGTGTGACTCATTTTCTTTCTTTGACTTAAATATTTCACTCCATTTTCTTATTTTATGAAGTATTGCTGTCAAAAAAAGTATAATGAGAAACTGGTCTTATTTCTGAATTTCTAAAGAATTTCCTTTTTTTCTTTAAAGTTGAATATTTTTATTAAAATAATTGATCATGTTGACTAATCTGGGTCATTTTCTGCACATATGTATTATTATATCTGTTGTGTGTTATTTGTGGAAAATTTTCTTGTATTCTAGATTTTATTATTTTTTTCTGTTTGATTAATTTGGTTTTCATCCTAGGAGATGCCTATTACAAAATTGATGAATCTTCCCATATGTTTTCTATCACTTTCCCCCTAATCTCTTTAATATCTTTTGCTATTTCTTTTAGATTTTTAAAATTTTTCCTCCTTTTGATCTTCTATTTCCTTAATGTATTAATAACGCTGGTTCATAATCTCTCGTGTCTTCATTTCTGAAATTATCTTTCATTTATTTCTAAATATTTTTCAACTGAAGTTTTCAGATTTTCTTTTTCCAATCCCCTGTTTTCAGCTATTGCATTTCTAAGTTTTTCTAATTCTAATGTATGCTTTTTAAAAATAGCTTTCTTTTTTCCCCCATAAGTTATTTTATCTAGTTTTAAAATACTAAGAGACAGTTTGCATATTTTTTAAAAGTCTTCATTTTTTTTTTAGAGTCATTATTTTGCTTGTTAGTCTCTTTTTACTTGGTAGGTTTTCACTACAATTCTTTTCTATTTTTCATGTTGACATAAAATTAGTTTGCCTATACTCTTAAAAAAGGAAAGGTGGGCCAGGGAACTTTTATAATTCATAGCTCTAGGGCATCTGTTTCAATTATTTCAATGGAATATTAAAAAATTTATCTTCCTACTTTTAGAAATCCACTAGTTTTCTTCTGCAGTCCCACTTTAATTGGAAAAATTATCTTTTCTCTGCCCCTCTTATACTTGTCCGGCTCCATATGTATTCTGCTCTCAAGATAGTCTCTCTTCTTCTCAGTGTGGGATTTTGCCCTGCTATTGCTTTTAATATTGCATAGTAACTTTTATATTTAGTACTCATTGATGAGTTTGAGTTTCACTGGCTCTCAGAGCCAAGGGAAACCCTTACTTAACCTTCTCTGAACTTCCTTAAAAACAATTCTTATCACATTTGATGATAGTACAACCTTTGTTTCTGGCTGTCTTGCCCCCCCCCCCCCCCCCCATAGTATGTGATTGGCTTGTT